AAAAAAAAAAGTACAAATAAAATCAACAAAAAAAAATTTTAAGTAATTTAAATGTTCCGTTAAGCATAATTTATAGCGATTATTTCAGAACAAAAAAAAAAAAAAAAAGGAAATGAATAAAGGAAGAAAACGAGAATTTTACAAAAATGACAAAAAACCGCTCTTTTGTTTCCTCCACAAATTGTACTCCTTCCCTTCCAAAAAACTTTATTACTATAAATCTTCAAGAAAAAAAAAAACACTTTTTTTCTTATTATACAATAAAAGCTATGAAACTGTTCTAATGTGCTGTTGAAGAACTAACAGCTAATAAGTGTTTGAGAACAGACATCCTTGTATCAGTTATCTAAAAAAACAAATCTGCTATTTTAAACACTACATTACCATTAGAGCAGAATGCTTGCTGCTTAATTTCTTCTCATTTGTCAAAAAAATAAATAAATAAATAAAATAAAACTAAGTTATCACTTAGACAACAGCAGCAGCTTTTTGGTGACTGATATCAGTTCAAGTTTAAAAAAAATGAAATTTTATTTTGAACCTTAAAACTTTTTTTTTTTGTTGAAAAAACATAGTTTTTTAAAATTTTTGCAAAAAAAAAAATCTACCGGATCTTTGCGAGTTATTGGTGCATAAGTTTGTTGTTGTGCAACATAGTTTACTGAAGCCAACTGATCATCGTTGACTGTTGGCGTAATGAAACGCTTCTGAATGATGTCGATGGAGCACGGCTCTGCCTGACTGCCTGCAAATGCTGCTTTTTCATTAAATACTTTTCAAATGTGAAAAAAAAAGTGAATATGAATAAATAAAATTAAAATAAAAACAAACTTTATTAAAATAGCTAAAAATAGTCAAACAACAATTACCGTAACAGCAAAGTATCATTATTAAAGTCAAAAACAGTTTTTTTTTTTGCATACTTTGGTTCCCGCAACGAAATGCGTAATTTATGTGACAGCACAATATCTGTAACGCGTAATTGTACCATCACTGAACAGTTGCAGCCATATAATTATCATAATTATAATTATAATTATTTTTTTTTTTTCTTTTTGGTGGATTTAAACTATGAAAAAGCATTATAAATTAGCACTGGTAACATCTTTTTTTGCCAAAACTATCAATACACAGCATATTTGAAAAATATATTAGAGTTTTAATTAGTATACAAGAAATACAACTTTTTTCCTCTTAAAACTTTACTTTCTCTATTGAAAAGTCGCAAAGAAAAGGATGTGGTAAAAAAAATAATGAATAGTTATGAGTAATTGTTTTCACAGTTTTTTTCCTAGTTTTCTTTTTTTGCAGCTTAAATTTAGAATTAATTCTACGCTTTTGTAGCCGTAAAATTTTACTTTAGAATCTATATGGTATGAATTACCTACTGGTCTACAAAGAAGAAACGAATTGAGTAAACAGTTAAAAAAGTTTCCCTTCCTCTTTCGCACTTCCCATTTCCCCTACTCAAAAAATTCACACTCATTCTCAAGTTTTTTTTAATGATAAGATGGAGACAGAAAACGAAGAAAAGGAGAAGGAAGGAAAAGCTGACACTGAAAAAATGATGACAAGCATAAAGGTTTTTTTCTTGCCTACTTTTTATTTTGAAAATGAGTAGAAATATTCTGTTTCAACGGTTTTTTTCTCTCCTATCGGCTTTTTCATATTTTGGTTTTGTAAGTAGCATTCAAAATGTTTAGAAGATTTTTTTTTTTGTTACTGATATCTTTGATTGCTTTTCTTCTTTTTCTTTTTTTTTGTGTTTTGTGACAACAGAAAATTATTACGTTCAAAGGATTTATTTCCAGATGTAAAATATTTTTTTTACTGATGTAATAATATCTGAAGTAAATAATATGGCAAAAAAAAAA